TGACACTTGAATGTTTTCTGCAGCACTCCTGATAAGTGGGGAGCAAGATTCTCTTTGAAAACCCCCCTCGGCCGGGCGCGGTGGCTCAAGCCTGTAATCCCAGCACTTTGGGAGGCCGAGGCGGGTGGATCACGAGGTCAGGAGATCGAGACCATCCTGGCTAACACGGTGAAACCCCGTCTCTACTAAAAAATACAAAAAAAAAAAACTAGCCGGGCGAGGTGGCGGGCGCCTGTAGTCCCAGCTACTCGGGAGGCTGAGGCAGGAGAATGGCGTAAACCCGGGAGGCGGAGCTTGCAGTGAGCTGAGATCCGGCCACTGCACTCCAGCCTGGGCGACAGAGCGAGACTCCGTCTCAAAAAAAAAAAAAGAAAACCCCCCTCAACATAGCACTCACTCCCAAGACTACTTGTTCCATACCTGGGCACCTCTGATTGTTACGTAGAGTATCACTCCCCTACCTGGGGTTGCATTTTTCTCCTCTGCTGACACTGTCCCCTTCCCCAGGTACTGATAACCCCCTGACTATGACCTGGGTGAAGGATGCTCGGCCTGTTCCTCCTCTGGGCTTGCATGTATTTATTGGTCTTGTGTGAATAAGTTGGTTTTCATGGAACTCAGTAATGATTCAATGAACCAGAAAGCTGAACTCAGCTGGGCTCACATCTTTGTCAACATCATAATCCTGCGAGAAACATATGTACTGCCAAATCTAACTCGGAAGTACAGGGCCAGTAGTATCTTCAGCCTGTAACCACTTGGTTGAGCAGTGTACTTCCTGGCCCAGGCCAGCATGTTCTGAACTTAACATGCCAGATGGGAGAGAAGAGATGCATGAGGCCACTGCTGGTATTTATTGAGCATCCTTGTCTTTGTGACACAGATTTTTCTCTTGGGAAGAAACACAGTGTCCAAGACCAGAGGGCAAAACTTCTTTTGATTTTGACTAAGTAAAGGGTTATTCTGGCAGTATCAGGAATCCAGAACATGAAGCAAAGACAGAATCTAGTTTTGGTGAGCCTTTTAGCATTGGAGTGACCAAGTTCTTTAGCCTTAAATGTCACAGACAGCCAAGCAGTGTCCGTCGGAGGCACAGACAGGCCTCAGATTGAACACTGGTGAACTCATGGCCTAAATTGGGAGAAAAGACCAGCAGGAACAGAAGGAAAAGAGGAGAGTTACAAGTTAGGTGGCTGGAGAAGGCAAGAGAGTAGGTCCATACTCCTTTCTAATCCATGCTTAACCTGATTCTCATCCATCTCTGAAGCAGCTGGGCTGACACATCTCAGTTTGTAGTCCAGGAACTAAACCAGGAGAGGTGAAGCAATGCTCTCTGAGACGAGGTTACTAAATGGCCAAGCTTAGATCTTCCAACTCCAAATCCAGAACTTTTCTCATTTGCATGTTCTAGGTTTTTTTGTTTGTTTGTTTTTCCATTCATGAGATATTTATTAAAATTTGAGGAAAAAATCAATACAATGTAGACATCACTACTGAAAACCATATATCATCATACAAAAAGGGATTTTGACCAGGCTTTGTGGCTCATTATTATCCCAGCACTTTCGGGGGCCGAGGCAGGCAGATCAATTAAGGTCAGGAGTTCAAGACAAGCCTGGCCAACATGGGGAAACCCCAACTCTATTAAAATGCAAAAATTAGCTGGGCGTGGTGACGTGCACCTGTAGGCCCAGCTACTTGGGAGGCTGAGACATAAGAATCTCCTGAACCCGGGCAACAAAGTGAGATTCAGTCTCAATAAAAACATTAAAAAAAAATTTTTTTTTTTTTATTTGAGACAGAGTTTTGCTCTTGTTGCCCAGGCTAGAGTACAATGGTGCGATCTCGGGTCACTGCAACCTTTGCCTCCCAGGTTCAAGCGATTCTCCTGCCTCAGCCTCCCGAGTAACTAGGATTACAGGCATGCACCACCACGCCTGGCTAATTTTTTATATTTTTATTAGAGACGGGGTTTCTCCATGTTGGTCAGGTTAGTCTTGAACTCCTGACCTCAGGTGATCTGCCTGCCTTGGCCTCCCAAAGTTCTGGGATTACAGGCGTGAGCCACCATGCCTGGCTAAAAAAAGAATTTTATTTTGGGAATCGTTTTCTAATTTATGGCAAATATTACTTTCAAAAATAATACCACAGAACAACACAATTAGGTCAATCTTAAAGACTGACAGGCTGAGCAAGGAATGCTTTTATTTTTTGTAGGAGCTCCTTCTTTAAACTGTCAAGTACTAGGGCTCTGCCTTTTGGAATGATTTCAGCCACCAAGTCATCAACAGTAACATGTTCTAGTCCTTTTTCTTTAATTACTTCTTAATGCAAAAGCAAAACACATATCACTTAAAATCATTATCTTTACATTATCTTTATCAACTCATCCTTTCAGCCACATTCAATTAATTTAGCTCTCAGCAGCTCTTTCAGGCGTTCTCTTTCTCCAGTTTCTGTCAACTTTTGGTTAATCCCTGCTCTCATATTCATCTTGCTAACCACACTGCCTGGACTTAGTCTTTTGTGAGAGTGGTAAGTGGTACATGTGGCAGCCGAATGCCAGTTCACCTGAATGCCATTAGTGACCTAGCTGGAGCTCTCCTGCCTTACAACAGAAGCTCATTAAAATTGCTGACTCAATAGCTGTTTATCCTTGTCAGTGAGAAAATCCCACACTCAGGGGTTCTGTCTGCAGAACCCAGAACTGAACTGACCACTTCAGCTAAAGAAAACTATTGAGTTCTTGGGGATAAGGGAGAATGAGGGGCGGATTATAGTTTATAGAAACCCTAGGTCTGGGGGCACATGTTCTCAGGATCTCTTGAGACTGTGCCTCAGGGAGGAAAAAACTAACAAAAAGAAACCCTGGGCCGGGCGCGGTGGCTCAAGCCTGTAATCCCAGCACTTTGGGAGGCTGAGACGGGCGGATCATGAGGTCAGGAGATCGAGACCATCCCAACATGGGCTAACATGGTGAAACCCCGTCTCCACTAAAAAATACAAAAAACTAGCCGGGTGAGGTGGCGGGCGCCTGTAGTCCCAGCTACTCGGGAGACTGAGGCAGGAGAATGGCGTGAACCCGGGAGGCAGAGCTTGCAGTGAGCTGAGATCCGGCCACTGCACTCCAGTCTGGGCGACAGAGCGAGACTCCGTCTCAAAAATAAATAAATAAATAAAGAAACCCTAGGTCTGGCAGTGTCCAGCCAGGCAGAACAGAGGCCTGACCTTTTCTTTGCTTCTAAGCCTATTTTAGGGCTTTAGCCTGGTCAGGAACTTGATTGTCTGACATGTCTCTAAAACATCCTATCTTGAGTTGAGTAGGATTTCTGAGCAGAAGTCTCAGATAGGATGAGTAAGCTTGGTACTCACCCAGCATCCTTAAGCAACATGTCAATGATGGGACGGGGTGTTAAGCTTCATTATAAGGTTTCATTTCTTGAGAAAAGATTGTAGAACTACTGTCTTCCTGGGTTGAAACCTGAAAAGCAAGACTTGTCACTGGTGGTCTGGGCTGTTTGCCCATTGTGTTTTTTTTTTCATAGGCACTGAAATAAAAAGATCTAGGGGTTAGCCTGGCTGAGGTTCTGATTCCATGATCTTGGCTAAGGCATCTTCCCTCCCTGGGCTGCCGTTTCCTCATCTGTAAATGAAGGGGTTGGATTACTTAGGGAGAAGTAAACTATGGCTTAAGCAGCCAAGTCTGGCTTACCATTTGTTCGTTTATAATTGACTATTTCTTTTAGAGGAGTTTTCGGTTCATAGCAGAATCTGATAGAAAGTTCCTATACATCTGGCCAGCCTGGTGGCTCAAACCTGTAATCCCAGCACTTTGGGAGGCTGAGGCGGGTGGATCACCTGAGGTCATGAGTTTGAGACCAGCCTGGCCAACATGGCAAAACCCCATCTCTCCTAAACGTACAAAAATTAGCCGGGTGTGGTGGCACACACCTGTAATCCCAGCTACTTGGGAGACTGAAGGAAGAGAATCACTTGAGCCTGGGAGGCAGAGGTTGCAGGGAGCCAAGATCATGCTACTGCACTCCAGCCTGGGTGACAGAATGAGACTCCATCTCTAAAAAAGAAAGAAAGAAAATTACTATACATCGTTTGACTTCCACCCCCACAACCTGCTGCCCCCACTATCAACATCCCCAGACGGAGTAGTCCATTTTTACAAGGTACAATCCATAAACTTACATTGACATCATTATCACCCAGAATCCATGGTTTACATTTCAGGGTTCACTCTTGGTGGTGTATATTCTTTTTTTTTTTTTTGAGATGGAGTCTCGCTCTGTCGCCAGGCTGGAGTGCAATGGTGCTGTCTCAGCTCACTGCAACTTCTGCCTCCCAAATTCAAGCGATTGTCCTGCCTCAGCCTCCCGAGTAGTTGGGACCACAGGTGCATGCCACCACACCCAGCTAATTTTTGTATTTTTAGTAGTGACAGGGTTTCACCATGTTGGCCAGGATGGTCTCGATCTCTTGATCTCATGATCTGCTCACCTCGGCCTCCCAAAGTGCTGGAATTATAGGCATGAGCCACTGTGCCCGGCTGGTGGTGTATATTCTGTAGGTTTGGACAAATGTACAGTGGCACATATCTAACATTATAATATCATACAGAATAGTTTAACCGCCCTAAAACTCAGTCTGCTTTTTTCAAGTTTTATTGGAATATAGCCAAGCACATTCATTATGTAACGTTCGTGGCTGCTTTTGCACTACAATAGCAGAGTTGAGTAGTTGCAACAGAAACCATATGTCTCACAAAATGTGAAATACTTATAATGGGGCCTTTTACAGAAAGTTTTCCAATCTCCAGTCTAGATGATTTCCAGGAAACTTCTAGAATCTGCAGTTTTCTTTTAGGCATTATACATGCTATACATGCAATAGCGTCTTGTATATAGTTTCATATCTGGATACTTAGTTGTTTGTTCTTCATCCCACTCCTTTTCTCGCTCTCTTGGGGCCCCTCCTGTGTGCTGACATAGCTGCCACTGTCCCAGAGCAGAGGACTGTGACCCTGGATGTTGATGTGAACAACCGCACAGACCGGCTGGAGTGGTGCAGCTGTTATTACCATGGCAACTTTTCTCTGAACGCAGCCTTTGAGATCAAGCTGCACTGGATGGCGGTGACCGCAGCAGTACTCTTCGAGATGGTGAGAACTTTCATGCATGTCATCGGGCCTTTGGCTCACCTCACAGTGGGGCATGGAGATGCTTGGTAGAGATTCATGTCACTTTAATTTTTTAGTTCAGGCTCTTATTACCATTCATTAGGACTACTGGAGTAACTTTTTAAAAAAATTTAAGCATAGTAAAAATTTCAAGTGATCAAAAAGGGTAGAATCAGAGTTTCTTAGCCTTGGCACTATTGACATCTGAGGCCAGATAATTCTCTGTGGGGGAGTCCTACATCTTATAGGAAATTGAGCAACAACCCTAGCCTCTACCCACTAAATGCTAGTAGCACAGCCCCAGGTGTGGTAATCAAAATGTCTCCAGATATTGCCACAATACTCTCCCAGGAAGGGGGAGTATTGCTCCCTGTTGAGAATCACTGGTTTAGAGTGAAAAGTAAATCTATTTCCCACTTTCATTCCCTGGGACTTTCATCTAAAAGCAGCCACCACTACCGCTTTGTTGAGTACATTTCCAGAGAGATTCTAAGCATGGACAAAATCACGTTACTTTTTTTTTTTCAACAGAGGCGGTAGCATTGGATACATACTACTTACATTGCATTTTTTCTATCACCTTTGTGTTCCATGTCAGTACAAATAAATCTGCCTTGGGATTTTTTTATTATTATTATTGTTATTGGGATTTTTGTTTGTTTTTGTTTTGATTCATTGTTTTTAAGGGCTGGAGAGTATTCTATTATTTGTTTACACCATAGTTAACCAGTCCCCTGTCAATAAACATCACTGTTTTGAACTCAGTGGTTCTTTACCTGGGGCAGTTTTGCCATCCGGGATCATTTGGCAATATCTGAAGATAGAAGGGGGTGGCTGGGCACAGTGGCTCACGCCTTAGGAGGCCGAGGCAGGCAGATCACTCAAGGTCGGGAGTTAGAGACTAGCCTGGCCAACATGGTGAAACCCTGTCTCTTCTGAAAACATAAAAATTACCCAGGCATGGTAGTGCATGCCTGTAGTCCCAGCTACTCAAGAAGCTGAGGCACGAAAATCACTTGAACCTAGGAGATGGAGGTTGTAGTGGGCTGAGATCATGCTATTGCACTCCAGCCTGGGTGACAGAGTGAGACTTCATCTTGAAAAAAGAAAAAGAAAGAAAGGGGTGAGGACAGGATGGGTGCTACTGGCGTCTAGTGGGTAGAGACCAGCAATGCTGCTCACCATCCTGTAATGCTCAGGGCAGCCCCCACAACAAAGAATAACCAGCCCAAGATGTCACAAGTGCCAAGGTTGAGAAGCCCTGTTTTAACTGGCCTTCCTGCCTGTCCTTTCTCCTTCTGTTTCATCCTGGCCTGCGTGTCTAATCAGGCCATTCATTGCTCCTACACTAAGAAGCCATCCCTGACCATCCCCCATCGCAGTGCTCACTCCTTAGCCAAGTTGTCAGTATCTTCCAGGAGCGCTCCTTAACCATCTTTATAGTCTGCCACTCCTTTTTATACACTCTCCAGTATAGCCAAAAAGAATATTTTTCTGTGGCTTCTACTGAATCTCACTTCTCTCAACACCAGCCCAGCCATCTCTTCATACAGCAGAGAACAGCTGGGAAGTTCAAAAAGAGTTTACTAAAAGCGAGGAGATAAGCAAAGAGAAATGAGTACAGCATGGGCTAGCAGGTTTTATATGTTTTTTTTTTTTTTGAGGCGGAGTTTCGCTCTGTCGCCCAGGCTGGAGTGCAGTGGCCGGATCTCAACTCACTGCAAGCTCCGCCTCCCGGGTTCACGCCATTCTCCTGCCTCGAGACTCCCGAGTAGCTGGGACTACAGGCGCCCGCCACCTCGCCCGGCTAGATTTTTGTATTTTTTAGTAGAGACGGGGTTTCACCGGGTTAGCCAGGATGGTCTTGATCTCCTGACCTCGTGATCCGCCCGTCTCGGCCTCCCAAAGTGCTGGGATTACAGGCTTGAGCCACCGCGCCTGGCCATATATTTTTTTTTTTTTTGTCTAGAGCTCATAGGCTAAGTTTTATCCCACAAAACATGGTATCCTGAGAAAGCAATTTGTCCGGGTCTCTCTCTGCCTCCACATGGCATTAGCATCTTCAAGGACCCCTCCCTTGGAAAGACTCCCATCTGGGAAACATCCTTAAGGTCCAAATAAAAAAAGACAACCCACTGCTCATTCTGCTCAGCTCACAGAGGACACTAGCCCTTCCCCAGCTCACTGATACCAGCGTGACCACTTCTTTCAGGTAAAACTAGCTCTCTGACCCAGTAGGCATAAACACTCTCCTTGCTGGCCCTTACTAGATAAGCATATCCCAAAACAGCATGACCACAGCATTCATAGACACACACACATAGTTACAGTTGGGCAGGAGAGACAGTGTTCATTTCCTTAGAGGAATTTAGCAACTGTCTCCATAAAGTACACTTTTTGCATCTGTTCATGTAAAACCCACTGAAAGCTGCTAATTTCTTTATCATTATTTTGTTAAGCTTTTAAAACTTTAGTGTATGTAAGTTAATTATTATTTTAAGGTGGTGTCCCCATTTGTTAAAAATCAGATTTTGACCAAGCCTTAGGAATTATTTCGGTCAAATGGAGATCTCGGCTTTTTTTTGTTATTTTTGTTATGAACATTCCTGAGAGAAAAGATAAGGGTGGTATCCTTTAATTTTTTACATAATCATTTGTTTAAGTCAAGCTCTGTCCCAACTGTATTTTTTTGGAAATAATACTTGACACAAAAATCATCTGTATGCCAGAGCCACATCGATCAACTTTTTTATTTTTTAACATACGTCATTTTTATGGTTAAAAAGAGTATCTCAAGATCTAGAAAATTGCCAGTGTTCCCTAAGAAAATGTTATTGATGGTAGGTTTATCTTTTTGCCCCGGTAACTTTTGTTCTCATCTTTGGACAGATAGAATTTGGTAGTCTGCCAGAGAGTGGCTCTCACTCTGTCAGGGTTTACCATTATCAGGGTTTACCATTATCAGAAGCCACCATGGTCATTTCCCACCCTGCGTCACATTTCTCTCAGCCAGCTGGAGTGAGTTGTTTTCCTATTTGATACTTTGAACTGAAGTTCCTGGTAAAGTACAAAATTAGGCTGGGTGCAGTGGCTCATGCCTATAAACCTAGCATTTGGGAGGCTGAGGCCGGCGGATCACCTGAGTCAGGAGTTCAAGACCATCCTGGCCAACTGGCGAAACCCTGTCTCTACTAAAAATACAAAAATTAACTGGACATGGTAGTGCACGCCTATAGTCCCAGCTACCCGGGAGTCTCAGGTGGGAGAATTCCTTGAACCCGGGAGGTGGAGGTTGCAGTGAGCTGAGATCTGGCCACTGTACTCCAGCCTGGGCAACAGAGCAAGACTGTCTCAAAAAAAAAAAAAAAAAGACAAAATTAGAAGGACTTAACCTCTATCCTGTGACCTTTCTCCAACATCCCCTAGAATAGGAAGGATTTCAACTCTGTGCAGACTGTTCTTTCTAAAAGAAACACCGAAGGTGCAGAAGTTTGGGCTGTAAAGAGGAGCTGTGTGCTTAGCTCACAGTTTTTCTGGTATTTGTCAGGATGTTAAACTGCATTTTTGCCTGTGCAGGACCAATTTGCAGCCAGTGAACATGAATAAATGAGCATGCCAATCAGTGTGCATGCTGCCTTTCTGGAGGGTTTGCTCCTTGGGAAGTATTTTCTTTTGTTTGAAAGAACTTGCAGATGATATTGTCTGTTTTTGTACTTTCTGCCAGGTCCAAGGTTGGCATCGGAAAGCCACCTCCTGTGGCTTTTTGTTGGTCCCAGTTTTGGAGGGGCCTTTTGCACTGCCCAGTTACCTGTATGGCGACCCCCTTCGTGCCCAGCTCTTCATCCCACTCAACATCGGCTGCTTGCTCAAGGAGGGCAGCGAGCACCTGTTTGATAGTAAGAAATACTCCCTTCTGGCGGTTCTGTCTCAACCAGTAAGACCCCGTCCCTACCAAAGACACCACTCTGGGTATCCAGTCAACACGGCTAGGGAAAAGGGAGAACCTTTCAACAAGGGGCCAAAAGGATCAAGGTTCTAAAGGATCCTGGTTCTTGACTTAGTGGCTGGATAATCCTGGACAAATCATTTCATGTCTCTGAGTCTCGAATTCCTTATTCCTAAAATGAGAGTGTCAAGACCTGCCTGGAGCAGAGTGGTGGGTGGGAGAGGGCGCTAAACTCTATAAATCACAGGCAGCACTGGTGTTCTCCCACGCTCTCCTTTCATATGCTCCAGCCTAACTGATTTGGGCTGCAGGGAATTAAACCTCACGGGAGACTTGCATATGCTATTTCATGCAAAAAGGCCAGGAAAGGGAGGGCATGAAAAGCAAAACAGGAAACAGCATCCTTTTCTGCAAAGCTGTGGCGTGTCAGCCTCTGGAACAGTGCATGTGACTTGAGTCATGCATCTCAGGGAAGACAAAGCAGGATCAGAGGATGATAGCAGGACCCAAATCAGAGCCCTTCCCTCTGGGAAATGTTGTCGATCAGAAAGAGAGTACCCAGGGTCAGCCTGGACCTGCTGCTCCACACCAGACCCCCAGAACCCTGAGGGCAGGTTTAGGACAGATCAAAGACAAGCTGCACTTGACACAGCATATAGCTTTTTATCACCAAGTGCTCGTTGCGGTTGCATGTATAAATAGCTCCCACAAAGCTTTTGATGAGTTCACAGATGATCTTTTTTAAAACGTAAAGCTAGGGTTGATGCTGATACGTCAGGAGCCCTGAGGTTTCTCAGGTATAAAGATTAGAACTGTGAAGGAAATAACGTTTGACGTAAGGGAGATGCTTTCTTCTTGTGCCCTTGTAAGTCTGTGTCGTGATCAGTGGCAGGGAACTGGCCCAAAAGATACAGAGGTCTCCCCAGGTGGATTAGGCCAAGCTAAGTATTCCTGCAATTTCCATGTGACAGGCTGCCCTCATGGTGCAAACAGCTTTTCTTCCAAAAGCCCATCTGTGTGTTTTTTGTTTACAGTTTGGAAGATATTTTTTTATAGACACAATGTTCTAAGTGATAACCGGGGTCCCAGGCAAGCCCCACAGGGGCCCTACCTGCTGGAGGCTATAGACTGTGGGACACACAGAGCTTACAAAGCCCCCTTGAAACACACATGTTCTTGTTTAACCTCACAGTGGTATGGCTGAGAGAGGACCACTTATGCAGTCCTGAAATGCCAGATGATTGTGTTCATATGGGACCGTTTTAAGCCAAGCAACTCCTGGTACTATTGTTTTTATTATGTTGAAGGGACAGAGATATCTTCCCCCGACACTGTCCAAAGACTCTTTCGGGGTTTTCCACCTTTGCTATAAAAGCACAGGGTTGCCCACAGGGCTGGCGTTGGAGGACATTTTCGTGCAAGTTGTTTTTCCCTGCCAGTTGTAACTCAGTCTTCAAGACCAGCAGCCTCTGTTGGTTGCCATGGTTACAGCTGCAGAAAGGGTCCCAGTTTAAAGGAATAAGGATTTGAATCTGAAAATCGATTTTCTTGCTTCTGTGCCTCTCCTCTTCCTGTTCTTGCCATTTCCTATAGCAGCAAATTCAAAATCTTAAAAATCTGACAAGAATGTGCTGTGTGTGGATTTTCTGTTTAAAGCCAAAGTCTTTTTTGCTTTTTGCCGTGTGTGTGTGTGTGTGTGTGTGTGTGTGTGTGTGTGTGTGAGAGAGATGGAGTCTCGCTCTGTTACCCAGGCTGGAGTACAGTGGCGTGATGTCGTCTCACTGCCACCTCCACCTCCCGATTCAAGTGATTGTCCTGCCTCAGCTTCCTGAGTAGCTGGGATTACAGGCACACGCCATCAAACCTGGGTAATTTTTTTGTATTTTTGTAGAGATGGGATTTCACCATGTTGGCCAGGCAGATCTTGAACTCCTGACCTCAGGTAGTCCGCCCTCCTCGGCTTCCCAAGGTGCCGGCATTACAGGCGTGAGCCACGGTGCCTGGCTGCTTTTTGCTCTTTAGTTGCCCCAAATCCTCAAATCCATCACAGGCAGAAAATTTCAAATGTGGAAAGATTAACAAAAGCACCACAGGCACTCTGGTCTTTGAGATGGCTGTGCAATTACCACCTCAGGCCTCAGCACCTCCTTCCTCAGAGCAGCCTGGGCTCCCATGCTATGGTCATCCAACCTTCCCTGGCCCTCCTCCCTCCCCTGTCCACTCTTGGTCCTCAGCAACAGCCTTGCAGAAGGCACGAGGCTGGAGTAATGAAGTGGGTTATGGAGGAGGGGACTTATCTTTTCTGCTGTCCTCCCCAGCCAATCACGCTTCAAATTTTTATTTTTTTATTTTTTATTTTTTGAGACGGAGTCTTGCTTAGTCACCCAGGCTGGAGTGCAGTGGCGCAATCTTGGCTCACTGCAAGCTCTGCCTCTGGGGTTCATGCCATTCTTCTGCCTCAGCCTCAAATAGCTGGTACTACAGGTGCCTACCACCATGCCCAGCTATTTTTTTTTTTTTTTTGTATTTTTAGTAGAAACAGGATTTCACCGTGTTAGTCAGGATGGTCTTGATCTCCTGACCTCGTGATCCATCCACCTCGGCCTCCCAAAGTGCTGGAATTACAGGCATGAGCCACCGCGCCCAGCCAAATTTTTATTTTATTTTACTTTATTTTAGTTTTTTGAGATGGAGTCTTGCTCTGTCGCCCAGGCTGGAGTGCAGTGGTGCAATCTCAGCTCACTGCAACCTCCGCCTCCTGGGTTCAAGCAATTCTCCTGCCTCAGCCTCCCGAATAGCTGGGATTACAGGCATGCGCCACCACGCCTGGCTAATTTTTGTATTTTTGGTAGAGATGGTGTTTCACCATGTTGGCCAAGCTGGTCTCAAACTCCTGACCTCAGGTGATCCTCCTACCTCAGCCTCCCTAAGTGCTGGGATTACAGGTGTGAGCCACCACACCAAGCCCAAATTTTTATTTTTATATTTATTTGCTTCAATTTTCCTACCCCCAAAATGGAGCTTATATTTGCCTTTTCTTGTGGGAAGATTGGTAATACAAAAAAGTAGAAGTGGGCTGGGCACAGTGCCAAGAGTAGTAAAGGGTACAGAAGACTGGCCCAGAGATAATTACAAACCTTGTGATCGCAACCCAATATTCATTCTTCTTTTCCTTTCAGGCTTTGAACCGGAAACGTACTGGGATCGAATGCACCTCTTCCAGGAAGCCATTGCACACAGGTTTGTCCCTTAGCGAATGTGAAGAGTGGGAAGGAAATTGGTGTTTATCTTGAATAGCAGTTACCAAAGTGAAACCCATTTTTTTTATTCTTAGAGAAAGGGATCTGTTCCACCAATGGTAAATTCACTGCTTGTCTCCAACAGGACTCTTTACATTGGTTTTTGAGATTAGCGCTGCTTCCCTGCTTCCTGTAGCTGTTGTTTTTCAGTCCTCATTATTTTCTTCTTCCAGTTGAGTGGAGAACATAGAACTCTCTCCTTAGCCTCTAACAAGACCCTAGGCCAAGCTATTCAGGAGATAATATAAAATGAAAAATCAAAAAATGTGTCAAGAGCCCAACGCAGGTTGAAAATACAACGAATGGGCCGGGCGCGGTGGCTCATGCCTGTAATCCCAGCACTTCGGGAGGCCGAGGCGGGTGGATCACGAGGTCAGGGGATCGAGACCATCCTGCCTAACATGATGAAACCCCATCTCTACTAAAAATACAAAAAAATTAGCCGGGTGTGGTGGTGGGCGCCTGTAGTCCCAGCTACTTGGGAAGCTGAGGCAGGAGAATGGCGTGAACCCAGGAGGCAGAACTTGCAGTGAGTCAAGATCACACCACTGCACTCCAGCCTAGGCGACAGAGAACAGAGCAAGACTCCGTCTCAAAAAAAAGAAAATACGATGAATGGTTAAAAAGCAATAGATGAGTCAATAGATATTTGTTGGCACCTAATATGTGTGCCAGGGAAAAGTCTGTCCTAGACTTCACTGTCTCCCCATAGACCAGTCCAGCCGACCGTGTCGTCTGCAAACATCACCAGCCTGGTATCTGATGGCCACTTCATGTTAGTAGTCATGGTAAAAACAAAGCCCCTTGTTCTTGCTTCAGTAATCCTCTCATTACACCTTCTCCAGTGTCCTGTCATCTCCTTATTCAAGCGTCTTCAGCTGTTATAGTCCCTACCTCCCTATATACACTCATACAGCCATAGGACTATTTAGCCTCTCACACCCACCATCCCCCCAACTTACCTTAGACCTTCATCTAAGGTCTAGCCCTTCATAGACCTAGCTCAGATGCTTAGCAAAGGCTGTGGAATGAAGGCAAAGGTGGCTGATTTCCTCCTTCCACTAATGGTGGGTGTGCAGATTCGGGGCAGAAGGTAGAGAGTGCAGTGGTCAATGGGAAAGGGCCTTGATGTTGGAAGCAGAAGGGCCTTATCCACTCCCACCTCCACCAGCATCTGGCTGAGGAACCATGAGCAATTCTGGAACTGGTGAGCCTCCATTTTCTTACCCCTCATGGGGAAGCCGGGCGAGTTCTCCGATGTTCTGGAGAGCCCGGTGGTGCACCTAGTGAGCCCTCAGTAGACAGCAACCCCCCGGGGGGACCCTGCTAACTCACGAGTTTCTAAGTAGCTCTTATTCTGCTTGCTCTGCTGGTGGGATATCACTCAGAACGTGGCCTTTATTTGTTAAATCTGCTTTTTTCCTTCACTGCATTCTCCTCCTCATCCCCCTCAGTCCAGATTCTGGTCATATCTTCCCAGGAACTATTATCCTTTCCTCCTCAGCCTGCTTTTTCTACTACAGATACCCTCACCTGTTTTCCGACCAGACCTCTGCTTCATTGTACCAAACCCTGCTGCAGTGTGCTCCTCACCTAAACCCCCTACCTTCCACACCTAAACCCCCACCCCCTCTCCCCCCACCTTCCACACCTAACCTCTCCCACCTTCTACACTTACACCTCTCCCACCTTCTACACCTGTCAGAGTGTTCCTCCAGGGATTCCCAAATGTTCCCTCTGAATTCCTTTTTCCCTTTCTTTCAAAACACTCTGTATTCCAGTGACTTGGGGGCCCCTGGAGGGCAGGGGTATGCTTTTCGTATTTGTGTTTCCTTCTATAATGCCTAGCAAGGTGCCTGCCTAGAGTACTTGCATATGTAGCTTTTGCATAGGGTGGAGCTTTAAGTGCAACTGTGGCTCTAAACGACACATCAGCCCACCCATAAGGTCCATCTCAGAAAGAGCTAGAAAAGTGTCCATCTTCCTCAGCCCCTAGGCTGTGACCTACAGCTCCTCCTTCATCTTCCTCAGCCCCTAGGCTGTGACCTACAGCTCCTCCTTCATCTTCTTCAGGGCAGGTGGAGATGATTATATCCCCTCCCCAGGGATAGGAGCACCCTGCCCTTACTGCATTTCTGGCTTGCATTCTCCCTGAGTGGACAGCCAGGTGGCCAGGAACCATGTGGTTACACTGCCTTTTTAAATAAAAAATAAAGTTCTTTCCTGGTGACCTAAGAAAGAGATGAGGTAAAAAAAATTACTTTGGTCAGGCTGATCCATGCTAAGGAAATCAATAGCTTTAATTAGAAAGTAGAGAGAAAGCAGGCTGGGTGCGGTAGCTTACACCTGTAATCCCAGCACTTTGGGAGACCGAGGCAGGCGGATCACCTGAGGTCAGCAGTTCAAGACCAGCCTGGCCAAAATGGTGAAACCCTGTCTCTACTAAAAATACAAAATTTAGCCGGTCGTGGTGGCGCACGCCTGTAATCCCAGCTACTCAGGAGGCTGGACGCACGAGAATTGCTTGAACCCGGGAGGTAGAGGTCGCTCTACCTCCTCATCATATAATCAGCCTGTAGATAGGCAGCTTACAGTGCGTAGTAGCCTACCCATTTAGTTTGCATATTTGACTTCATATATTCTTCGGTGAAAAATTATGGAATGCAGATTATGTAGAGGATGCGACACAGCACCTCCCCAAGGAACTCAGTCCAGGAAAGAAGACAGGCATTTTCCCGTCTTTAGTTCTGCCTACATCACTGTCTTCATTACATAAACCTCTCAGACTTAGAGGGCAGGAGCCACATCTGTTACCACGTCCTTTACAGCTCTTAGCAGGTAGAACTGTAATAAATGTGCCTTATGGAAATAGAAAAACCAGGAATAGAACAAGCCATAGATGAAAAATGGCTCCTCCTGCCCATTTCCAGAGCACAGTGAAGCAGAGAGCCCTAGCTTGGCGTTTCTCTTTTTTTTTTTCTTTTTTTTTTCTTTTTTTCTTTTCTTTTTTTTTTGTTTTTTTTTTGAGATGGAGTCTCACCCTGTTGCCGAGGCTGGAGTACAATGGCATGATCTCAGCTCACGGCAACCTCTGCCTCCCGGATTCAAGTGATTCTCCTGGCTACTACCAGGACAATCCTGGTTAATCCTGGCTAATACAAAAATAAGCCAGGTGTGGTGGCACATGCCTGTAATCCCAGCTACTCAGGAGGCTGAGGCAGGAGAATCACTTGAACCAGGAGGCGGAGATTGCAGTGAGCCGAGATCATGCCATTGCACTCCAGTCTGGGCAATAGTGCAAGACTCCCTTTCACCAAAAAAAAAAAAAAAAAAAAAAGATAAGGCCTTTCCCTGGAGGAATGGATAGCCTCAAGTATGCGGGTGGGTATGTGTGGCCTGTCAGGACATGAGGTAGATTCCAGTGAGAAGCCCAGGATGGGATGGGGGAGAACGCTCAGCGGGAAGGTCTGCTGGGATGGGTAGGGAACATGGTAGGAGGGACAGGCTATCTGGGCAGAGATGAAGGCTGGATGAAGAGTGCAGCCGGTGGGAAGGTTTTCATTCAGTATGGTGGTGGTGACATGGTGGACCTCGGAGATGACAGGCTGCTAGGTGTGAGGAGGTCTGGTGAGCCATGGTGTTGCAAGAGGTAGAGGTCAAAAAGTGGTGAGGGTGAGGACAAAAGCAGCCTGCATGTGCAATCTAGAAAGACATCTTTCCAGATCTCTGTGTCTCAGGCTGTCCGAGAGTCCTGTCAGCTACAGTCTCTTCCCTTGCCCCTTTAACTAAGGAGGCGCTGATCAGCATGTCTTTGTGTCCTTTCCTAGGTTTGGGTTTGTACAAGATAAATATTCTGCCTCTGCTTTTAACTTCCCTGCTGAGAACAAGCCTCAGTACATCCACGTTACAGGTAAGGAGCTACGGGCAGAGTTGGACAGGTGGGTCCACATCCCTTTCCTTGCACCAAACCTGTGGCTGCAGAACCACCTCAGCAGGCTCCAGGAGCCCTCCTGGTGGCTGCCACACAGGCACTCCCCTTTCTCTTCAGGAACAGTGTTTCTGCAGCTGCCCTATTCCAAACGCAAGTTCTCAGGGCAGCAGCGGCGGCGGCGGAACTCCACCAGCTCCACCAACCAGAACATGTTCTGCGAGGAGCGGGTCGGCTACAACTGGGCCTACAACACCATGCTAACCAAGACATGGCGCTCCAGTGCAACAGGGGATGAAAAGTTTGCTGATCGACTGCTGAAGGACTTCACGGACTTCTGCATCAACCGCGACAACCGTCTGGTCACGTTCTGGACAAGTTGCCTGGAGAAGATGCATGCCAGTGCCCCATGAGGCCAGGGTTAGAAGGCTGTGCCTGTGCAGAGGGAAGGTGGGTGAGCCGCTGCCCTCAAACCCAGGGCGGAGGAGGATTCCAGGCAGGCTCTAGGAGTCAGGTGTCCATTTGCTACTGTCAGTGAGTGGGGGCCATTGTTGTCTTTTTTTTTTTTTTTTGGCCCCCACAACAAATCTTCTACTCTAGAAGAAAGACTTTGGAAGCAGCTGCTGCTGCTGCCGCCACTCCTGTCAGCAAGTGCTCAGAGCAGGTGGGAGGCACAGATTGTCCGTGGGAGGGCTCCAGTGTCTGGGAAGAGGGCAGGCAGCCCCCATGAATGTCCTCGGAAGTGGGTGGCTCCTGGTAGCATCCTTTTCCTTCACCATCTATAGGATATTAGGGGCAGAATCTGCCACTTCCTGCCCGGGAGTGTGCACAGATGTAAGATAGTTTTGTGAAATAATGTACCATAGACTCTCACCTACTGTATATACCTGTACATACCAGAAGCAAATAAAAAGCTCCACATGCATCATCTCTGTCCCCACCCAGTTCCCCACAGAAGCGGTCCCATCCTGAGCTGGGCAGTTGTGCCAGGTGGCCGGGGTCATGGCAGTCAATGAAGAGGCCACAGATGGTGAGAGGGCTTCAGAATTCACTGGCTTAGGGAGTTTGGCTATGAGTTTATTGAGAGATTTCTTTCATAGGCTGCTAGGCCGGAGCAAGGATGGTTCCAGTGAGGACAGTGAGCAGGCAGGATAACTTACAAGGTAACTGTAGGCTCATGCTATCAGAATGAATCTTGCTAAATGGGGTGAGCCCAGCTCTGGGGTGCAGATATGATGGCATTCTGAAAAAAATCAAAGGAAACCTTTGTAGACTCTAAGTTAGGTTTTTGTTTTTGTTTTTGTTTTTGTTTTTAAAGACAGAATTTTCACCCTTGTTGCCCAGGCTGGAGTGCAATGGTGTGATCTGAGCTCACTGCAACCTCTGCCTCCTGGGTTCAAGTGATTCTCCTGCCTCGGCCTCCCGAGTAGCTGAGATTACAGGCACCCGCCACCATACCAGGCTAATTTTTTGTATTTTAAGTAGAGATGGGGTTTCACCATGTTGGCTAGGCTGGTCTTGAACTCCTCATCTCAGGCGATCCATTCACGTCAGCCTCCCAAAGTGCTGGGATTACAGGTGTGAGCCACCATGCCCGGCCTAGCTTAGGTTTGCTGAGATAAGACTCAGCATGGTGCTTCTACCTCAGCACCCTGCCTTAAGCTACTCAGGGCAGTTTGGGGGCTGTGGGTCAGAGGGGAGAATCCGACAGTGGCTGCCACTTCTTGCTGTGCCATCTCACCACGTGGAGTTCATCACAAGTCCTGTTCATTTGCCTCTTCAGTAGCTTTGCATCCATTCTCTTCTTCCCAGGCCCTGAGCTGCCACTCAGTCCAGCCTTCCTTTGTCTTTCTCTTAGATCTCCAGGAAAACCTTGTAGTTTGTCTCTGCTTTCACTCCACTTGTCAGTCAGTCTTTTTATAAAACCACTGTGATTTTGCCACCACTTAACTAGAACTTTTTGGTGACTTAAACTTCAAAAATCTTAGATGCAGCCTACATGGTCCTGCACAATCTGGTCCTGTGGGCTGTTCGTACAGCCACCCTGGCCATCACACATTCCCTGGAACATCACAAACTGTACCAGCTCAGATGCTTTGCACTTGCTGTTCCCTCTGTTCCATCTGCCTAGAACATTCCTCCCTCCATGCCTGCTCTGTCTCACTAACTTCTGGTGGTCAGCCATCAGCTCTTAGCTCAAATGTCACTTCTCCAGAGAAGCAGAGTTGGTGGCCCTGTTACATCCACCCACAGCACCTTGTACTTCTCCAGCATGGTGCTCAACACGTTTATACTCTACCATGGCAGAAGCTTCTCTCTCTTTTTTTTTTTTTTTTTTTTTGAGATAGAGTCTGGCTCTGTCACCCAGGCTGAAATGCAGTGGTGCGATCTCAGCTCACTGCAGCCTCCACCTCCCAGGTGCGAGTGATTCTCCTATCTCAGCCCGTGAGTAACTGGGATACAGGGGCCTGCGACAGAACCCAACTAATTTTCCTATTTTTAGTAGACACAGGGTTTTGCCATGTTTGCCAGGCTGATCTCGAACTCCTGACCTCAGGTGATCCACCCGCCTCGGCCTCCCAAAGTGCCCAAAGTATTGGGATTACAGGCGTGAGCCATCACACCCAGCGTGTTTTTTCTATATCTACAAAAATTATTTGGAGATGGAGTCTTGCTCTGTCTCCAGGCTGGAGTGCAGTGGTGCAATCTTGGCTCACTGTAACCTCTGCCTCCCAGGTTCAAGCGATTCTCCTGTCTCAGCTTGTGAGTAGCTGGGATTATAGACGCACGCCACCACAACCAGCTAATTTTTGTATTTTTTAGTAGAGACAGGGTTTCACCATGTTGGCCAGGCTGGTCTTGAACTCCTGACCTCAGGTGATCCACCTGCCTTGGCCTCCCAAAGTGCTGGGATTACAGGCATGAGCCACCGTGCCCAGCCAAAGGTTCTCTATTTTGTTCATCTTTTTGGTGTCACATGTGCATGATAATAGTAGATGTTGGAGAAATGGTTGTTGACTGAATGTATAGTAAGTGAATGAACTTCGGATTCCAGGGGTGGGCACTGAATTTTTTTTTTTTTTTTCTTTTTAAGAGACGGAGTCTTGCTCTGTCACCCAGGCTGGAGTGCAGGGGTGTGATGGCTCACTGTGACCTCTGCCTTCAGTTCAAGCGATTCTCCTGCCTCAGCCTCCTGAGTAACTGGGACTACAAGTGCACATCACCATGCCCGGTTAATTTTTGTATTTTTAGTAGAGACGGGGTTTCATCATGTTTGCAAGGATGGTCTCGATCTCCTGACCTCAGGTGATCCAACCTCCTCGGCCTCCCAAAGTGCTGGGATTACAGGCGTGAGCCACCGTGCCTGGCCTGGGCACTGGATTTTACATCTGAATCTCCACCTTCCTAGCTGGGCTCCTTAGTTACTTCACAGAACTTGAACTTATTTAGAACTTAAAACGCAGCTATGGATGCTGCATGTAATGATTTTGAGAGAACAGATTTGTTAATATATGTGAAAGAGCACTGGATAATTCCTGGAAATAGAGCAGGACTTTGATAAAAACCTGTTTTCTTTTCCTTTTTCACCTTCCCTTTTCTCAGATATGCCAATCCCCTCATCTATGAAATGGGAAGCTATCTCCCCGGGTGGTTGGAGAATCAGAAGACACATGTAGTTGGGCACGGTTGGCCCACACTTGAAATCCCAACACTTTGGGAGTCTGAGATGGGAGGATCGCTTGAGCCCAGGAGTTTGAGATCAGCCTGAGCAACATAGGAAGACCCCATTGCTACAAAAAAATAAATTAATTAAATTAAATTAAAAATTAGCTTAGGGCCGGGTGCAGTGGCTCACGCCTGTAATCCTAACACTTTGTGAGGCCGAGGTGGGCGGATCATGTGAGGTCAGGAATTTGATCCTAGCCTGGCCAACATGATGAAACCCCATCTCTATGAAAAATACAAAAATTAGCTGGGCGTGGTGATGTGCATCTATAATCCCAGCAACTCGGGAGGCTGAGGCAAGAGAACCATTTGAACCCGAGAGGTGGAGGTTGCAGTGAGCTGAGATCATGCTACTGTACTCCAGCCTGGGCCACAGAGCAAGACTCTAAGAAAAAACAAAAGTTAGCTGGACATGGTGACTCGCACCTGTCTTCCCAGCTACTTGAGAGGCTGAGGTGGGGAGATCTCTTGAACCCAGGAGGTCTGCAATGAGCTGTGATTGCACCACTGCACTCCAGCCTGGGTGACAGAGTGAGACCCTATCTCAAAAAAGAAAAAAAAAAAGCTACGTATATGAAAGGTCTTACAAAAAGAGAGTAAGCAAATGTCTGCTCTCAAACAGCTGAACAGCTGCTCTCACATTCCTGGATGGGAGTCTCCATTGTGCTGTGAAGCCATTGAGTTATGGTGCTGGACAAAGCAGCCGCTGGCCTGTTCAGATCACATACGAACTGAACAACCACTTGCGATCCTCAGTGTCCCATGTGTAAGGCCAACAATTGCCCCTGCAATTGCCCAGCAGAAGGCCCAGAGAATGATTTGGTGGAAGAAGGGGCGGCTGGTAAGTTAGGATGCTGGGTCACTCCCCCAACAGAGCGGAACCTGAAACTCTCCTGCCCATGGGCCCCAGTGTCCTGCTGCCTACTTTCCTGATTCCTCCTCTCTCTGGTGGGCACCCCCTTCCACCCACTTGTCCAAGCCAGAATCTGGTAGTCAAACTCGATACCTTCCTCCTCCATCATCCTCCAGTCCTCCCATCCATTCATCCTACCTGTCTCTCAGACCCATCCACCTTTTTGTAGGTACAAAGCTCAGCTCACAGGGAGTCTGGTTTGGTCAGACATGGAGGACATGTGCATGCTGATCAGGAGCCTGTCACCAGATTATATAGGCCGGATGCGGTGGCTCACACCTGTCATCCCAGCACTTTGGGAGGCCAAGATCACCTGAGGTCGGGAGTTTGAGACCAGCCTGGCAAACATGATGAAACCCCATCTCTACTAAAAATACAAAAGTTAGGGCGAGGTGCAGTGGCTCACGCCTGTAATCCCAGCACTTTGGGAGGCCAAGTGGGTTGATCACCTGAGGTCAGGAGTTCGAGACCAGCCTGGCCAACATGGTGAAACCCCATCTCTACTAAAAATACAAAAGTTAGGGCTGGGGATGGTGGCTCACGCCTGTAATTCCAACACTTTGGGAGGCCAAGGTGGGTGGATCAAGAGATCGAGATTATCCTGGCCAACATGGTGAAACCCTGTCTCTACTAAAAATACAAAAATTAGCTGGGCGTGGTGGTGCGTGCCTGTAGTCCCAGCTACTCAGGAGGCTGAGGCAGGAGAATCACTTGAACTTGGGAGGCAGAGGTTGCAGTGAGCCGAGATCACACCACTGCATTCCAGCCTGAGCAACAAGAGTGAAACTTCATCTTAAAAAAAAAAAAAAAAGTTAGCTGGGCATGGTGGCGGGTGCCTGTAGTCCCAGCTACTTGGGAGGCTGAGGCAGGAGAATCCCTTGAACCTGAGAGGCAGAGGTTGCAGTGAGCCGAGATCGCACCACTGCACTCCAGCCTGGGCAACCCATCTCAAAAAAAAAAAAAAAAAAAAAAGGAAGGAGTACATGATGTATGCCAGAGACAGTGTGCAAATCTGTGAGGCCTTGCTGAAGCAGATAGGAAATACTGGGACGGAATGCTGAATAGAAGCCAATTTACAGGCCTCTTCAGTTACCCAGAAAACTTGAGAAAAACACAGAATAACAATGGTCACTCCAATGAGTGTTTCCTGTGTCCTGGGCAATGTGTCATACACCTTTTCATTGCGTAATCTATTTTTTTTGTTGTTGTAGTTGAGATGGAATCTTGCTCTGTTGCCCAGACTTGGAATGCAGTGGCAGAATCTCGGCTCACTGCAACCTCTGCCTCCCAAGTTCAAGCAATTCTCCTGCCTCAGTCTCCCCGGTAGCTGGGACAATAGGTACATGCCACCATATCCAGTTAATTTTTGTAATTTTAGTAGAGACAGGGTTTCACCATATTGGTCAGGCTGATCTGAAACTGCTGACCTCAAATGATCCACCTGCCTCGGCCTCCCAGAGTGCTGGGATTACAGGCGTGAGCCACTGTACCTGGCTCACTGCATAATGTTATCAACATACCAGCTGAGGGGTGGAAGGCTCCAGTAAGTAGGGTCCATGCCCATACACTAACAAACAGCTGGGATGGGAATCAGGTTCATGGGAATCAGCCCAGTCACCACCAGTTGTGCTGCCTCCTTCGCCTCCTGGTGGTGCTGTGTCGATGAGATGCCACCCACTGCTCCATCCTGGGTTCCTGCCTGGGGACCCCTTCGTTCCTTTCAACTGACTGCCTTACATGTGTGGTGAAGCTACAGGGGTACAGATGCGGTGTAACATGGTCTCATATACAGGTTCTCTGGTAGGGAATGGGCAGTGACTCAGTGACTTTGACACAGGACCAGTGGCCTTTCCTCCCTGCCAGGCTTCTATCTGGAAGGCACTGTGTGTGCCCTCTCTTGTGGTCTGCAGCTGTGACTTCAGCCTCCAAGTGCTTCAGGCAGCTCCTGGCCTTCAGACTGTGCCACACACTTGCCCTAAACCTGACCTGAAATGCCCGGGATGTAGCATTTGCGTGTAGCGAAAGCTGGTGCCAAGTACTCAGTCCTACCAGCCTTCAGATTTGACCTCCATCTGCTTCTCTGGCTGGAGCAAGATTCCTCTGTTTCCTCAGTGAATCAGCATATAGTCCTTCCAACAAGAAAATCTATTTTCCCAAGGGGATGAGGGGAGATGGGGAATTGCTATGCAATCTCTGGAAAAGCCTTTTCTCTCTGTGCCCCAGAATTTTCATCTGAACTCATCTGGGAGAAACATTGGGGACCACAAGATTATAGACTTTCTCCCTTCTCAACCAACAGGATGGATGAGTGCTGAGGGGGGAATTCCAGTCCCTTTCAGTCCCACAGTTGCCACTGGAATGCAGTTTCTTTCCTCCTGTCTGTGCCCTTTTTTTGAGACAGGGTCTCACTGTGTCATCCAGGCTGGAGCACAGTGGCACAACCTTGGCTGACTGCGACCTCCACCTCCTGGGTTCAAGCGATTCTTGTGCCTCAGCCTCCTGAGTACCTGGGATTACAGGCATGTGCCGCCATGCCTGGCTAATTTTTGTATTTTTTTATAGAGAGAGAGTTTTGCCATGTTAGCCAGGCTGTTCTTGAACTCCTGGCCTCGAGTGATCCTCCTACCTCAGCTTCTCAAAGTGCTGGGATTACAGGTGTGAGCCACTGTGCCCAGCCTCTAGTGAGTACTTCTAAAAAACCTACAATGCTCAGGATAGACCTTACAGCAAAGAATTATCCAGCCTCCAATGTCAATCGTGTCAGCTTCAGACACCATGAACTAGACTGTGGTCAGGTAAGAGGTTTAGAAGGGGACTCCCTCCCTCCTGTGACTTTGGAAGAAGAGGCATCTGCCACTTGCCCCTTCCTGTGATCTGAATCCAATGGCAGCCCCATCATCAATTTATAGCAATTACTCTTGCTGGGTTCCAAGGCCAGAGTGGCTAAGAGGCCTGCTTAGAGGCATACAGCAGGTTACCACAGCACCAGGATTAGAATGCTGGCCATATGGAATGCTTGCTTGCTGGGACATGGCTTCTGTGTTTCTCTTCCACTTTCCTTGTTCACATAGCTTGCTTCTCCCATCGAATGTAAGCTCTTTGAAGGCAGAGAACACATCTTGCTCATCCTTGTATCCCCCACGGCAAGTGCCCATCACACATTTGGCACTTATTTAGAATTTATTGAATTCATTCATTCAGCCAACATTTATGCAAGCTTGAACCAATGTGGGCTTTGCCCTCCTGGTGGAGGGAAGCAGACATGCAAAGCAGCCACCATAGCACTCTAGAAGAGGTCTCAGATTGGCTCTCTGTAATGCAGTACAGAAACTGGCCGGGTGCTAGCTGAGCACGGTGGCTTACATCTGTAATCCCAGCACTTCGGGAGCCCGAGGTGGGCGGATCATGAGGTTAGGAGATCGAGACCATCCAGGCTAACACAGTGAAACCCCGTCTTTACTAAAAATACAAAAAAATTTAGCCTGGCGTGGTGGCGGGCGCCTGTAGTCCCAGCTTCTTGGGAGGCTGAGGCAGGAGAATGGCATGAACCTGGGAGGCGGAGCTTGCAGTGAGCCAAGATCATGCCACTGCACTCCAGCATGGGCAACAGAGCAAGACTCCATCTCAAAAAAAAAAAAAAGAAATTGGCCAGTGTGATGGCTCATGCCTATAATCCCAGCAATTTGGGAGGCTGAGGCAAGTGGATCACTTGAGGTCAGGAGTTCGAGACCAGCCTGGCCAACGTGGTGAAACCCCATCTCTACTAAAAATACAGGAAAAATAAATCAGCCAGGCATAGTGGTGGGTGCCTGTAATTCTAGCAACTCGGGAGGCTGAGGCAGAAGAATCACTTGAACTCGGGAGGTGGAGTTTGCATTGAGCCAAGATCGTACCTCTGCACTCCAGCCTGGGCAACCGAGCAAGACTCGGTCTCAAGAAAAAAAGAAATAGAGGAGAGGGCTTCATTCTGTGTAGAGGAGCTGGGGAAGACTAGAGAAAGGGGCATTTGGGCTGGGACTTGACAGCTACGTAAGAGTTCTAACAGGTGAGGAGTATGGGGTGGGGAAGGGGATGCTGGAGGGCTGGGGGGCTTTGGCAACAGAACGGTCAAGAGAAGACGACTAAAAACTGAAAGAACCACAGAGAGAGTTCCCCGGCCTGCCTCACCCAGCCTGCCCTCTCAACAACTAGAGGTGAGTGCTGGCAAGTCCCAGGGTGCACACTGGAGCCAACAAATGGCCCATTGTCTAGAAACCCTGAGCCAGCCTGTCCCCTGGGGTCATGCCTCATGGGGCCTTGATCACCTGTCAGCCTTTGCTCTTCCTGGCCCCAGATCTAGGTAGAACAATGGCCTCTGAACACACCCAAGCTCCACAGTGGTGGCTGGTGTCTCTGATAGGACAAGTAGGGAAATGATCTCTTTCATATTCCCTTTCATGTTCCCTTTCTCCTCAGGGAACCAGAAACCCTGTGCCCAGGTTCAACCTGCTGTTTGTTCACCAGGTGACCCTGCATAGCCTTCTGAAACCACCCTGACCCTCATCCGTCTAGTGACAAGATGGGAATCATCAAGACTTCATTACATAACTGGAGAAGTCGATGTGAGAACCTGGGAGATAAGGGTTGTTGGGCTGGGGGCAATGACTCATGCCTGTAATTCCAGCACTTTGGGAGGCCAAAGGAGGCAGATCACTTGAGGCCAGGAATTCGAGACTAGCCTGGCCATCATGGCAAAACCCCATCTCTACTAAAAAAACAAAACCAGGTGTGGTGGCGCATGCCTGTAATCTCGGCTACTTGGGAGGCTGAGGCTGAGAATCACTTGAACCCAGGAGGCGGAGGCTGCAGTGAGCTGAGATCGCACCACCACTGCACTCCAGCCTGGGTGACGGAGGGAGACTCTTTCTCAAAAAAGAAAAGGGTGGAGGGGTTGTGACGGCCCTTTGAGAACTAAGTCTGAGGAAGAGTCACTGTTACTCTTGTCTGATAGTAGTGCCCCCTGCCTGTGATCCTGAGCAAGTCCAGTCACCTCACTCAACCTCAAGTTTGAGGGTGCAGTGATGACGGCATTTCTCCAGCTTCCTTCGAGGGATCATGGTGGGGACCCGACGCAGTCAGCTTTGCAAAGGTGTCCAAGTGGCACAGGGTGCTCCCTCATTTTAAGGCAGTGCTAAAAATGCTCCCATAACGGAGGCCAAACATTCTGGTTTTCTATTTTATTTTATTTTCAGACAGGGTCTTGCTCCATCACCCAGGCTGGAGTGCAGTGGCGTGATCACAGCTCACTACAACCTCTGCCTCCCAGGTTCAGTTGATCCTCCCACCACAGCCTCCCCAGTCGCTGGGACTACAGGCACATACCACCACACCCTACTAATTTTTTGTGGAGACAGGGTCTCACTATGTTGCCCAGGCTGTCTCGAACTCTTGGGCTCAAGCGATCCACACACCTCGGGCCTCCCAAAGTGCTGGAATTACAGGTATGAGCCACCATGCTTGGCCTAAACATTTTGTTTTGAACGTGCCCAGAAGGTGTACAAGGAACATGATATACCACCAGCTAGTCTGAAGCTTGGGAAAAGAGAAAAGGAAAGCAGAAAAAAGATAACAGCAAGAGCTTACTTGTATATTGAACCCCAAAAAAGTGTGTGCCCACCAACCTGCTAGGGCCTGAGGACAGCCCTGATGGAGGTGAGTGGGTAATGGGGACCCCCACTTCTCAGAGGAGAAACTGAGTCTCAGGGAAGTTCAGGACTTGCCTGGGGTTACTGAGCGAGCACACAGAGCAGAGGAGGGATTGAACCTGTCTGCATTCTCCCAACCCCTCCATCCCCCCCTAGCCAGGCTGGGCTTTTCCTCACAATGAGATGGGGCGTGGGAGACAGAAACCCAGTGAGACAGGCCTCTCTGGAGGGGCAGCCGTGCAGGGAAGGAGGCAGGGAAGGGCCTGGGGCCAAGCTCCCTGCACAGCCATGAGAGCCATGTCCCTGGTCCCAACTCCCCAGGGTCTCCTGCTCCTGGTCACTGCACTGTTGGTGGTTGGCCCTGGGAGAACAGGAGCACTCCCTGGGTAGTCTGACACACAGGATGTGTCTCACCTCAAAGCAGAAGTGAAACCGGCACAGTTCTCCTTGTGAGACACCCCCTCACCACCTTCGTGTCTCTTCTGCAGGAACCAGGAGAGTGGCTGCCACCACTTGAAGCCAGATTGGAGGACAACAGAGAAACTGGCCAGCTCTGGAGTCTGACCTATGCAGGGAGCTGGGTGTCCACCCCCCACTGCACACATCTTGGGATTGCTTTGTGCATGCCCCCTTGGGCTGCCTGTCACAGTGATTGCAAGATACTGTTCCTATCAGGTTTTATGATGTAGACTCTAAGGGAGCTGCCCCTTTATACAAGTCCCTGTGTCCCAGTGGAATCGCAGCCAGCCCATCGCCACGGGAGGGAGATTTGTTTGTGGTTTACTCACTTGTTTGTTGTTCACAGGTTCAGTCACCATGCTGCCCACACATATGTATTAACAGTCACCCACGTGCCAGGCATCATGTAGATGCAGGAGGAAGGATATTAAACAAAAAATTACACAAATAACGATTTTTAGGGTTGTGAAGTAATAAGTATAGTTGTGAAAAATGCTCAAGAGACAAAGGAGAGGCCACTGTGAAAGGTATAAGGGGGGCCAGGCGCGGTGCCTCACGCCCGTAATCCCAGCACTTTAGGAGGCCGAGGAGGGCGGATCACGAAGTCAAGATATCAAGACCATCCTGGCCAACATGGTGAAACCCCGTCTCTACTAAAAATAGAAAAATTAACTGGGTGTGCTGGCGTGTGCCTGTAATCCCAGCTACTCAGGAGGCTGAGGCTGAAGAATCGCTTGAACTCAGGAGGTAGAGGTTGCAGTGAGCCGAGATTGCACCACCACACTCCAACCTGGTGAGACAGAGCGAGACTCCGTCTCAAAAAAAAAAAAAAAAAAAAAAAAAAAAAAAAGCCAGCATGGTGGCGGGTGCCTATACTATAATCCCAGCTACTGGAGAGGCTGAGGCAGAGAATTGCTTGATCCTGGGAGGCGGAGGCTGCAGTAAGCTGAGATCACACCACTGCACTCCAGCCTGGGTGACAGAGCAAGACTGTCTAAAAAAAAGAAAAAGAAAGGTGTGAGGGGGAGCCTGACCTATTCTGGGGCCCAGGGAAAGCTTCTGAATGTTTCCATGGAGACCTGATGGATGGCCAAGGGAGAGGAAGGGGCAGGTGCAGCAGGAGAAGGAAGCAGAAGCAATTGCGCAGGACCATGTGTGCTGCGGAAGGGTATCCTCTCTTTGTCGTGAAAAGAAGGAACGTCTGGAAGGCTGGGTGACCTTGGGCAAGCCTTCCTCTTCTCTTGGCCTCAGTTTCCTCATCTTTTCAGTAGGGACATGTTTGCCCTCCTTGCAGGGTTGTTGAAGAGCCCTTCAGTTAAGCACCTAGCACAGCACCTGCCACCTTGGAGGTGCCCAATAAATGGAGCCATTAGCCTAATGGTTGTGACAGAGGCGGGACAGGAATCCAGGCTGCCTGCCCAGCTCGCCTTCCAGCAGCTGCCCCTGCAGTCCCTGCCTTCTTCCAGGGCTGCTTCTAGGAGACACTGAGCCAGGAGCTGTCACTGGGGCTGAACACATTGGCCCGAGTTCCAGCTCACTCTCTGTATGGTGTTCCCCTGCTGTCATATCACTGCCCTTTGCCAGCCAGGTTAACACAACCTGGGAAAAGGCTGGGGTGAGTCTACAGCTACGGTCAGCCTTAGAAGCTGTTGTCCTCCCTCCCTCCTCCCACCTTCCACAGTGCCCCAGGTTCCAGCTAGGTGATCTAGTCAGTCTTTGCAGATCCCTAATTCCTGTGGTTAGCTGGGTAGCTATGTGCCCTGCAAGTGAGACACAGGGTAGCACATAGCTGGCAGCCCCAGGCCTGACCAGCAGCAGGACTACATTATTCTGAGAGTGAAGTCAGCTTGGACTCCCTCTCTCCTGATTCAGGAAAGGAGTCTTCCTAAAGCAGGAAGGAGCTGATCATTGATTGTATGCATGCCTGGAGCCATGCAGGATGCTTTGCTTGCTACCTGACTTAGTTCTTTTCTTTCTTTTTTTTTATGAGACAGAGTCTCACTCTGTTTCCCAGGCTGGAGTGCAGTGGTGTGATCTCGGTTCACTGCAACATCCGTCTCCCAGGTTCAAGTGATCCTCCCACCTCATTCTCCCAAGTAGCTGGGACTACAGGCACATGCCACCATGTCCAGCTGATTTTTGTATTATTAGTAGAGATAGAGTTTCACCATGTTGGCCAGGCTGGTCTTGAGTTCCTGACCTCAGGTGATCTGCCTGCCTTGACCTCCCAAAGTGCTGGGATTACAGGTGTGAGCCACCGTGTCCAGCCATACCTGGCTTAGTTCTAACAACAGACCCTCGCTGTAGGTCTTATTATCTGCATTTTACAGATAAGTACCTGAGGCTTGGGGGTCACCAAACTGGCAAGTGACAAAAAGGCTGGATTCTATTCTAGGTCACCATGACCTTACCCAACCCCAACTCTGAGTGGCAGACCTTTGGGCTATGTTTTGTTGTATTTGGGATTTCATTCAGTCTCATTGTAGGAGTCCTGGAAACAAGATGGGGGAGCCTGAGCTTTGATCTCTTCCTGTGGCAGGTGGCTTCAGGAACTGCTGCTGCTGTTTCTCAGGAGTGTCCCAGAATGATCAAGCTGTAGCCACCTCAGTGATGAATATGGCCATCCCCTTGTCCACATAGGGGAAACTGAGGCCCAGAGAAGGGAAGCAACTTGCCTGAGGTTACAAGGTTGGTCAGGGGAGCTGGGGCTCTCCCGAGGCCCTCCTCCTTTGGCTTTCTGTCTCACCCTCCCTTGCTGGCCTCTGTGTAGCCTCCACACATTGGAAGATCCCAGTCCGTGGCTCTTGGACCTCTTTTCTTCATTGCATTTCCCCAGTGACCCAATCCTGAGATCCTAATTACCATCCACATGCCCACAAGTCTGAAGATCTCTAGCCCACCCCACCTCTGAATTCCAACCTATCAGTCCAGTTGCCTTCTTGGCCTCTCGTTAGAGATCTAAGAGGAACAGTGAACTTGATGTGTCTAAAACACAACTCTTGATTTAGCTCTGCACCCAACCCCCAGCTCCCACCCAAACCTGTTCCACCCACAGTCTTCCCGGATTTAGTAACTGTACCATCATCTACCCAGTTATTCAGGCAGAAAGGCTTGGAATTATCCTATATTTCCCCTTCCCTCATCCCCCACATCTAACCCATTAGCAAAAATATATTGTAATCTGACCCCTCTCCCCATCTCCACTTACGTCTGATGCGACACAATGTTAACTGTCCTCTTGCACCCTCTTTTGACTTCAGGAATGTATTCTCTCTTTTTTTCTTTTTTTTTTCTTTTTTTTGAGACGGAGTCTCACTCTGTCACCCAGGCTGGAGTGCAGTGGTGCTATCTCGGCTCACTGCAAGCTCCGCCTCCTGGGTTCATGCCATTCTCTTGCCTCAGCCTCCCGAGTAGCTGGGACTACAGGCGCTCGCCACCACGCCCGGCTAATTGTGTTTTTTTTTTTCAGTAGAAACGGGGTTTCACCGTGTTAGCTAGGATGGTCTCGATCTCCTGACCTCGTGATCTGCCCGCCTCGGCCTCCCAAAGTGCTGGGATTACAGGCATGAGTCACCGCTCCTTGCCCAGGAATGTATTCTCACAGCAACCAGCATGCCCTCTTTAAAATACAGAACAGGCCGGGTGTGGTGGCTCACGCCTGTAATCCCGACACTTTGGGAGGCTAAGGCAGGCAGATCACCTGAGGTCAGGAGTTCAAGACCAGCCTGGCCAACATGGCGAAACCCCCATCTTTTTTTTTTTTTTTTTTAGACGGAGTCTCGCTCTGTCGCTCAGGCTGGAGTGCAGTGGCCCAATCTCGGCTCACTGCAAGCTCCGCCTCCCGGGTTCACGCCATTCTCCTACCTCAGCCTCCCGAGTAGCTGGGATTACAGGCGCCCGCCACTGCGCCCGGCTAATTTTTTTTCTATTTTTTAGTAGAGACGGGGTTTCACCATGGTCTCGATCTCCTGACCTTGTGATCCGCCCGCCTCGGCCTCCCAAAGTGCTGGGATTACAGGCGTGAGCCACCGCGCCCGGCCTTTTTTTTTTTTTTTTGAGACAGAGTCTTGCTCTGTTGCCCAGGCTGGAGTGCAGTGGTGCGATCTTGGCTCACTGCACGCTCCGCCTCCCGGGTTCACGCCATTCTCCTGCCTCAGCCTCCGGAGTAGCTGGGACCACAGGCGCCCGCCACCACGCACAGCTAATTTTTTGTATTTTTAGTAGAGATGGGGTTTCACCGTGTTAACCAGGATGGTCTTGATCTCCTGACCTCGTGTCGTGATCCACCCGCCTCGGCCTCCCAAAGTGCTGGGATAACAGGCGTGAGCCACCACGCCCGACCAACGAAACCCCATCTTTACCTAAAATACAAAAATTAGCCAGGCATGGTGTCACGTGCCTGTAGTCCCAGCTACTCAGGAAGCTGAAGCAGGAGAATCACTGGAATCCAGGAAGTGGAGGTTGCATTGAGCCGAGATCACACCACTGTACTCCAGTCTGAGGGACAGAGTGAGACTGTCTCAAACAAACAAACATAGAACAGGTTGTATCATTCCCCTGCTTGAAGATCCTTCAGCGACTTCCCATCAATTCAGGATGAAACCTCAACTCCTTGCCAGGGCCCATAAGGCCCTGTGAGGCCTGCCTGAGCTTCTGGAAGTTTCCATTCTCCAATCTCATCTCCTCCTCACTCAGAATGATGCAGCTTTTCCTGTTTTTTGTTCCGTGAACACCCCAAGGTTGCTCCTGCTTCAGGGCCTTTGCACGTCTCTTCCCTCTTCTTGAAACCCTCTTCCCAAGATTGTGATTTGGTTGGTTCCTCATTGTGGGTGTCACTCGTTGCCTTCTCAGAAAGGCCTTCCCTGACCACCCTGTCTAGAAAGCACCACCTCTGTGTCCTCTTGTCTCTTCCCCGTAGCCCTTTACATCATCTAAAATTTTCTGCATTATCTGCCTGCTTCTGCATTGTCTTTTCTGCTCACTGGAATGTAAGCGCTGGGATTGGTTTTGGTCCCTGCTATAGCCTCAGTGTGCCTAGCATGTAGCAGGCACTCCATGCATGCATGCTTATTGACAGAACAAACCACATGGATTAAGGGCCTAAGTTACAAACCAAGTTTCTTTCAAGTTGTTGTCCCTCAAACTCTTTCTTTTTTTTTAGACAGAGTCTTGCTCTGTTGCCCAGTCTGCAGTGCAGTGGTATGATCTCTGCTCACTACTATCTCTGTCTCCCCAGCTCAAGCATTTCTCCTGCCTCAGCCTCCTGAGTAGCTATGATTATAGGCGCCTGCCACCACGCCCAGCTAATTTTTTTTTTTTTTTTTTTTTTTTAGACAGAGTCTTTCCTGTTGCCCAGGCTGGAGAGCAGTGGCGCGATCTCAGCTCACTGCAACCTCCACAGGCAGCTGCCACCACGCCCAGCTATTTTTTTGTATTTTTAGTAGAGACTGG